TTTTGCAGATGAGGAAACTGAGGCAAACAGGGTTAAGTGACTTGCCCAACATCTCACAGTAAGTGTATGAGGCTGGAGTTGAACTCAGGTCTTCCTAATTCTAAGCCTAGTGCTCTATCCACTGTGCCACCTAGCTGCCCAGTGATTCTTACTAGTCAGGCAGTAGGAGGGAGAATATTCTAGTCATGGGGACCAGCCAGTGAAAAGAGCAAAGATTGGACATGGAGTGATGTTTTAGAGAAAGATTTGGCAACTAAACGGATATGCGGCTTGAGCTAGGTGCAGAAGATACTAAAACAAACTTGTTAGTAGTAGTTCCTTTCCTGTGCTTTGGTGGTTTGTTTTATGCTCATGTACTACTGATAAAGTTTTCAAATGGAATTAGTAAGTTTGCCTGATGGGCATTTTTTTGAGATGAGAGTCATTTTGAACAGTTGGGGGAACATAGCAATGTGTTCATCTGGTTTCATTGTTTAAAATGGCCTTTTATGGAAGAACTAGCACAGTGATTATCTGTGCTTGGAAAACTAAGGAAGAGCAGCTAGATAACCCATCGAAAATTCAAGAAGTGTTGTTATAGTTTGCATTCTAATGTTTTAAAAGGCTAAATGATTTAGGAGGAAAGGAAACATTTGGTTGATTTCAAGTAACCCTAACCACAAACTCCTAACACAGTGTTTTTACTCATGGTACAAACTAACTTGTATTTGTCTATTTTGTATATATTTGTGTTGATTAATTTCCTATTCATGCTATATATGTGTATTTTGTACTTATATCCCCAGCCCCTATCATAGTGCCTAGAATACAGTAGGCACTTAATAAATACTTATAGATTGATAGTTTGAGAGGCACTATGGTATAATGGAAAGAGCATTGGATTTGAAGTGAGATGACCTTTGAAGTATTGAGTCCCAGTTCTGTCACTGATTAATATGACTGATATGACCTTGGACAAGTCACTTAACTCTTTTATCTCTATTCCTTCCCGTTGAATTTATTATTCATGGTATAGTTTATACCATGAGAGATTCTAGTAGATGCATAAGTGAGAGACTATGTGGGGTAATAGAAGGATAATACTGGATATGGAGTTAGAACACCTGGGTTTGAATTTAGGCTTATAAATAAGGAAACTGAGATTCAAAGAAATTAAGTAATTTGCCCAAGTTTTCTGAAACCCATTAAGTGGTAGAGCCAGGATGAGAACCCCACATCTTCTTACTCCTAGGATTCTTTTTGTTGTGTCATGCTAAAAGATTTTTTTAATGGGAGAATGACGTAGTAAAAACTGTACCCATGGGGAAGTTGGTTTGATGATATGGTGCCTTTTACCAATATTATTCTAACTTTAAGTCCCATGGTGATCAGTGACCTCTCTCTCTCTTTCTCACTCACACACATACATTTGACTACCGGGTTTGATTCCTTCCCTCATTATACACAGTTTTGGTCTCCACTTCTCCATGGTTCTGCTTCCTGAGGTCAGCATAAGACCCATTTTATTAATTTTTTTTTTGCTTTGTTGTTGTTGTTGGGCAGTGGGATTAAGTGACTTGCCCAGGGTCACACAGCTAGTGAGTGTCAAGTGTCTGAGGCTGGATTTGAACTCACGTCCTCCTGACTCCAAGGCCCGGAGCTCTATCCACTGCACCACCTAGCTGCCCCATAAGACCCATTTTAATCTTTGTTGCCTTTATCTTCTTTGTTGTGGCTTTTCCCTATAAAGGTTTGAAGTAGCAAGAAGGGAAAAGTTACTTAATCATAAAAGTCTTGAAAGTTAACCTTGTTCTTCTTCCTTGTTTGCATAATGTATTCCTGAGGTGTGTCTCCTCACAATGTAGGACCTCACACCTCTCACCTTTCTGGTAGGCTTGCTTACTCCAACTTGCCCTGACACTGACAAGTCTAGGCTCCCAGAGAAGGGCCACCATCAATGTGTTACACTCAAACTTTCTTAGAATTCTGGGGGGTCACGCTATTGTGAGGAAATATACTCTTCCTACTGACCACTTTAGTTTTCAAGCCCCTATCACTGCAATTCTATGTACACAAACCCGGCCACTAGAAATGATGAGATATTTATATCTTAAACATAATCATTTACTTGACCATCAAGTGTAAGCAATAATTATTATAACCTCATAAGTATTCATGTATTAAAACAAATGCAACAGTAATATATACATCAGAGTTCACACATAAAACTGGGTCACAATCCCATCAATGTACTTAGCATCTGTGAGAAAGAGTGGTAATACAAAGAACAATTTGCCCAAAGTGCATAGGTACTAAGTAGCAGAGGTCCTCATTCCAATCCAGGGTTTTTGCCAAACTGGGTCTCACTGCTCTATTATATGTAATGTTGCACACAGGTCCGAGGTCCAAAGAAAATCAAACAGACTGAAATTAAATATTAATAAAATTATTTTACCTTTCTACTATTTTTGGTAAGAATTTTTTTTTTTTACGTAGCAGAATTTTGTTTATGGTTTCTGAGCTAGTTAGAGAGCAGTAGACAAAAAATAACATTAACAAATATATGTGTGACCAAAATCAGTTTTAAAGCTACCTTTAGGTAGCCATGGGCCATGGGTCATTTTGGATGTCTATTCATGCCATTAGGCTCCTAGATAAGTATTACCATTCATATCTTGTCATCCATGAATCTTACATCAAACTCACATTGCCTTCTTCATGTTTTTATAGGTGTTGATGGTTTTGACTCCTGGAAGTGTTTACCCTAAAGGGGTGAGCTAGTACTAATGTGTGATAGTTATATGCAAGCAGATTTTAGCTCAAAATAAAGAAAAAAACCTGATAATAACAGGAGCTGTGCAACAATGGAATTGGCTATCTTGAATGGGCAGTCAGTTCCCTAGAGGCTAGATAATCAATTGTTAGGGACATTGTAGACAGGATCCTTGATTGGGAGAGAGTTTGGGCAAAAGTTTTGTTTTGTTTATTTTGAGATATTTTCTAGCTCTAAGATTCCTTGGATCCTTAAATTTCTAGCTCTAAAATTCCTTGAATTTTTGAGTTTCTAGCTCTAAGATTACTTGGACCTTTAAGTCCTATGACTCAATGTTTTTCATTCTGGTTGGTTTGCCTAGGTAAATCCACTAGCCAGCTGTTACAAATGTTTAAGAAAAGTTCTTTTTTTTTCCCCTTTTGCTCAGCTAGGCTAGTATTTAGACCTAGTTCCTCAGTAAAACTGTGGAGTTGATGGTAGTTGCCCACACTTATTTTATCTTTTAATCAGCCTGGGATCCCTGTTTACTTGGGGATACATTAAGCTCTTTTGTTTTTTCAAATTTGTGCTCCTGGTCAAAGCTCCCATAAAATTGCTATTTCAAACAATCCTCTATCTCTTGGGTTATTGTGTTCACTAAGGAGATAGACAGGTCCCAAATCTAATTAAAGGCCTACTCATTTCCTACAATTCGTTTAGGATTGTTTAAATGGTTTCTGCTCTCCTCCTCCCTTCCTCCCATCTAAGTGATTTTTTTTTTAGAAACCTTTTCCTTGAAGGTTTACAAAACAACAACAACGCTTTACACATACTGATGTTAATAACAGATCCTTGGTGCTAAAAATGAGAGCAGGATTATGGCACCACCAATGGTTTGAAGGAGGCAGGGAAGTCAGTTAAGAGGCTATTACAGGGGTCCTGGTACAAAAATAATGAGCACTGTGTACCAGGATTGTAGAGACAAGAATAGAGAGTAAAGGGTAGATATGAATGATGTGTCAAAGGAAGAATCCACTGGACTTGGCACATGATTAGATGAAGGAGATGAAGAAGAGGGAAGAGTTCAAGATGACTGAAGTATCAGGCTTGGGTAACTGAGAGAAGAGTGGTTTCAATGACAGAAATAGGGAATGCCTAGAAATGCAGGATGCCCCACAGGAATGACAGTTAAATGTTCTTCAAGAGCAAAGGTTCTTAACTTTTTTGTGTGTCAGTCTGATAAATCCTGTTCGCTGCTACATAGTGGTGCCTACATTCATAAATGAAGGAAATGCTAAATTGCAGTTACAAGTTAATTAAAACAAAGATGCATTTTTCCATCCTAGTTTACAGATTTGCTGAAATCCCCGGGTCTGAGGACCTCAGGTTAACAAACCGTGCTTTAGAAGTTATACTCTGCCTAAGAAAATATGAATTTTCTTCTGGTTTATAGAACTGAACAAAGGTTAGGTAGATCTTCTTTCCACCAATAGAAAGCTAAGATGTTTGAGGGATATAGTCTGTAAGCACTTCCCATCTTTAAATACTCCACTTTAATTGACCAAGTTATGATTGTTCTCAGGACATTTTTTTTTCTGACATTCTTGGCTTGTTCTGATGGATATAAGTGCTTTATTAAGTTTTTTTTAATAAGAATACGTACCTTATTAACTTACCTGTCAGCATTCATTTCCAAAACTTCTTTGTTTATGGAAGAAATGTTAAATATATTTGCCAAAAATTGAACTTGGGAACCTCAAGAGTTTTCTTTTTGAGCTGTATCTTTCAGTGTTTGCAATAGAACCAGTAAGATGGTCTTCCTTATAAACTGTTATTGTTTCTCAGTGAAGTAGGCTCATTAAATGTATTAGTAACATTCAATACTTGTATTTGGTTAGGGACATGTTTTCAGTTTTTGATATTATTAGCTATTGTTGTAAAAGCATTCCTCTTCAGTTTTATCATTCTTTTGCAATCTGTAGTGTAATTTTATTGGGTTATTAGTAAAAATCAGTCAGATATTAATCACTTATTAAGCACCAATTATGTGCCAGGCAATGTACTAAGCATTGACGATATAAGTACAAAAAAAGCAATCTCCACCCTCAAAGAGCTTACAATAAATCAAGAAGTTTGAGCTTGAAGGTCAGAATGTAAGATTTTCAGTTAGGCATCGATTGACAGGTGGTAGATCTTGGCATTGGTCTTTCTTTACTTTTGTTTTAGTTGAATAAAATTTATCTTTATTTATCTCTCTTTTTTCATGCAGATTCCAACACGATTATGGCCGAGTACAGCCACATGCAAAACCAGCTAGATTTACAAAATGGTAGCTTAGAAGAAGATTTTGTGGTGAATTCTCTTGAAAACAATCTCCAAGGCATAATGGATAGCTTAAACCAGAAAAAATACACTTCTAGCCTAAGATTTAAAACTAATGGAGACTACTCTGGCTCTTACTTAACTGTTTCACAACCGATCTCTATCAAGAGAAGCCCATCTCCTCTGGGGTCTGGTATCAGAAATGCCTCCTTTGCCAAAATCCAGGGAAGTAAACAGTTCTCTTGTGATGGCACTGACAAAAACATTTCCAGCAAACCTCCCACTCCTTTTCTAGGTACTACACCCTCCCTTAGTGGATATCTCCTTGGGACTGCAGACTTTGATCACTGTGCTGGCTGGGAGGATGAAAGGTCCTCGAAACTTGCTGATAAACCTCCTTATTCCAAGTACAGCTCAAAGAATAAGTCACATGACAATGTCTACTTTCTTGGGGGACAAGAAGGCCGAAAGGCATCAGGTTCCCTTTTGACCATGTGGAATGGAAACTCCATTAATGATGTTGGATTTTCACCTCTCCGGAAGTCTGGAGCAACAAGCATGCCCTCCAGCCCAAAGCAAGCCAGGAAGATGAACATTCAGGACAGCATGACTCTTCAGCCCAAAATGACAAAACACAAGGAAATAACCGCTGAGAATGTTGGTTTAAGAACTAGGAAATATTCAGGAAGCTCCCTAAGTCAAATGGGGGCATACAGCCGTTCACTGCCCAGGTTGTACAAAGCCGCTGAGAATCAGCCGATGCCACTCAGCTTGCCCCCAAGAAACTCTCTCGGTAATTCCAAAAGAAAGAAACTTGGGGAAAAGGATCTACCTCAAAGCATAACAGATGCTGACAACTACCTTAATTTTTCTTCCTTAAGCTCAGGGGCTTTGCCATATAAGAACTTTTCATCAGATAGCAATCCATATGTTAGTTCGACTCTTAGCATTCCTGCAAGCCCCCGAGTGGCTAGGAAAATGCTGTTGACTTCCACCTCATCCTGTGCATCAGATGACTTCGACAGGATGATATTCTCAGGAACAAGCCCTAACAATTCGTTTTCTCCTGGAGAGTTCAATAGAGTATTTCCTGGCAGAAGGGACTTCTCTCGTAGCTCCATAGAATTTGATGACACTGACTTGGAGAGCCTCAGACAGACTTCCAGTACTCCCCAGCCAGTCCTTAGAGAAAGGAAAAGCAGCATTAGCTCCATTTCAGGAAGAGAAGATCTGATGGATTATCACCGGAGGCAAAGAGAAGAAAGGTTAAGGGAACAGGAGATGGAGCGATTGGTAACTTTCCTCTTCTCACTCTTATTCACTGTTTCATCTATTTATTAAAGCAGCCCTCTATGCTGTATTGGTGTTAAATAGCCTGGGAGGTGGGGCTAAAAAAATATGCAGAAGTCTGGAATTTTCAGCAGCTTTATTTGTGCTCACAACCGCTGTCCTCACTCGTTTCCTAGATTTTCCTAGGTTTCCCTAATGTTCCCTATTTCATTAGATTTTGTCATGACAGGTAATTTGACATAATGAATAAAATGCTGAGACTGGAGTCAGGAAGCACTAGGTTCAAATCATGCCTACCTCATTGCTTACTGAGAGACCCTAGTCAAGTCATTTAAGTTCTCTGTACTTGAGTTTCCTCATCTGTAAAAATGAAATGACTGAACAACAACAAAACTCAATCAGCTAATCAATAAGCACTTATTAAGTATCTATCACGTGGCAGGCACAATACTAGGAACTAAGGATCCAAAGACAAAGAATGTAATAATCTTTACTCTCAAGGAGCTTATTAGGGGAGACAACACATACACGTATAAATACATACAGAATATATGCAAAATAAATACAGAGCTGTGGAGGGGGGGGAAGGTATTAGTATTTGAGAAGAATAGAAAAGGACTTGTGTAGAAAAGGCATTTAAACTGTGTCGTGAAGGAAGAAGAGGCAGAGGTGAAGAGGAAGTACATTCCAGGCATGGGGAATACAATTCTAAAGGCACAGAAGATGGAGTACCCTGTATGAAAAATAGGGAGAAGGCCAATTTGACTGTTTTTGTTTAGTCCTTTACGATTGTGTCTGACTCTTCATGGCCCCATTTGGGGTTTTCTTGGCAAAGATACTGGAGTAGTTTGCCATTTCCTTCTCCAGCTCATTTTATAGATGAGGAAACTGAGGCAAACACAGTTAAGTGACTTGCTGGAGACAGTCAGCTAGTAAGTATCAGAGGCTGGATTTGAACTCAGGAAGATGAGTCTTCCTGACTCCAAGCCCAGCGTTCTACCCACTGCACCACCTAGCAGTACTACATTGTGGAGTATAGAAAGGAGAGTAGCATATTATGAGGATAGAAAGATAGGTTGGGGACAAGTAGAGAAGGGCTTTAAAAAACTAAGCAGAAGAGATTATGTTTTATTCCAGAAGCAATAAGGAGCCCCCGGAGGTTATTAAGTAGGAGAATAACATGGTCAGATCTGTAATTGAGGAAAATCACCTTGAAAGATGTATGGAGGGAGGCTTGGAATGGGGAAAGACTCAGTAGAGAGATGAATTAAGAGGCCAATGGTGTCAAGATGTGATGAGATCTTACACTAGATAGTAATAGTAAGTACCTCACATTAGGGACTTCTCTCAAGTCTGATGAGGCCAACAAAAAAATGGGCAGTTTTAGCGAGCACTACACTTCATCAACCTGTCCTTTGAGAAAGGAAACACAGTATTAGTGACATTTCAGGAGGAAACAAACTACTAGATTATCCCCAAAGGCAAAAAGAAAGACTTGAGGAGGAAGCAAACTGATGTATATGAAGTGCTCTGCAAGCATTAAAATGCTATATAAATGTAAACTAGTAGTAGTAGTAGTAGTAGTAGTAGTTGTAGTAGTAGTAGTAGTAGTAGTAGTAGTAGTAGTAGTAGTGGTAGTAGTAGTATGTCCAAGAAGTTTTTCAAGTACCTGTTATGTGTTCAGTAAATGTTTGCCTTAAGAAAGGCAAGTATCTCTCGGTAGCTAGAAGGTCATTGGTACAAATGTCTACAGACTGGAGTCAGAGACTTGGGTTTGAATCCCAGCTCTGTGCCATACTGTGTGACCTTAGGCAAATCACTTAACATCTCTGGGCTTTAGTTTCCTCATGATTAACATTAAGGAGGGGACCATCTCCAGTATTCTTGATCTATATCTGGCCACTGGACCCAGATGGCTCTGGAGGAGAACATGAGGCTGGTGACTTCGCACAATCCTGCCTCACTTAAATCCAGTTCTCTTGCAAGTCATGGCATCACTTTCCCGATGTCATGGTCCCCTTTGAGAACAAAGGCAAACAATACCAACAACTAAAATCTAGGAGCCAGATCTGGTAGTCTCAGAGGCTCTTTTCAGCTCTAAAAGATCCAAATACTCCCGTGAGCATTTACATTTCCCTAAAAGGTAACAGGAAAAAGGCACTTCTCAATGAATTTCTTTTAGGTCCCTTTTGTGTTCTTGCATTTACTTTTTGTTGTTTTCTTTTCTCTCCTCATTGTCAGGCTGTGTACTGTCACTCTCACTCTCAACATCAGTGTCCCTGCTTATAGCACCCCTTATGTGCCCCTATTCCCTTAAGTTAGCAGTTTCTAGTCTGCTGTGAGATTGGAAAAGAAGATAAAAAAGCTTGTTAGCATTTCATAGCTTGCAGATTGATAATAGTAACAATAAGTAGCATTTTTATAGCCCTAGTTATGTGCCCAGCACTATGCTAAGAGCTTGACAAATATCTTATTTGAGATAACCTGGGAAGTAGGAATTATTATCCCCATTTTACAGTTCAGGAAACTGAGGCAGATAATGGTGAAGTGGCTTGCCCAAAGATCACGTAGCTAGGAAGTGTCTGAGGCCAGATTTTAATTCCAGTCTTCCTGACTTCAGGCCCAGCACTCTATCCACTGAGTCACCTAGCTGCCCCTTGCTTAATTCATAGCAAGTGTTATAAAAATGTTTGTTGTTGTTATGGAAAACCTACAGATTTCTTCAAATTAGAGAGGGCCAAAATTTTGTTTTGGGCTGATTACATTCATCTGTAGTAGGTCAATAAAGAACTATATAAGGACCAGGGGCTACTCAGGATTACTTAATAAGGATTTAATAAGGATTTCAGTATAGAATTCAAGGGCCACTAGGCAGTGCAGTGAATAGAGCAACGGGCTTGGAATCAGGAAGATTCATCTTCATGAGCTCAAATCTGGCCTCAAAATATTTACTACCTGGGTGACCCTGGGCAAGTCTCTTAACCTTGTGTGCCTCAGTTCTTCATCTGTAAAGTGAGCTGGAGGAGGAAATGGCAAACCACTCTAGCATCACTGCCAAGAAAACCCCAAATGGGATCATAAAGAGTCAGACATGACTGAAGAATGACTGAATAACAACAAAATAGAATTCAAGGTGGGAGATGGGAGGAGAAAGGAATAGTCATTTATGTAGTACCTACTATCTAAGACCACTATGCTAAGAGCTTTACAAATATCATCTCATTTGATCCTTACAACAACCCTGTGAGGCAGGTGCTGTTATGATCTCCATTTTACAGATGAGGAAACTGAGGCAAACAAACATTAAGTGACATGCCTGGGGTCACATAACTAGTAAGAATCTAAGGCTAGATTTGAACTCAGTTCTATCCCGACTCCAGATCCAGCATTCCATCCACTATGCCTTCTATTGGCCAGATGGGGAAGAGCATAAATTGACACCAGATCTCACAAAGCTCCAGGTTTTAGTTCTTTTTTTTTTTTAAACTTTTTCTAGGGTTTCCATTAAGCATTGTCTGAAGGTTATATTACTATAGTGTAACAATTCCGTGGCTTCAGTACAGGCATACTGCCATTGATTGTCATTACTTGGTTCCAAGAAAACATAAAGAGTTCGTGAGCTAGTTGCAGAGGTAGTCAATTTCGTAGGAACTGACCTAAGGGAACCCTGGCCAGTGGGTAAGAGGGTGTTAGAAGTAGGAAGCAGGAGCTTGTTAGGACACTTGTGGGTATAGTGACATGGTCATCATCTTAGGCTTTCATAGATCCATAATTCCACAAGTGTGGGTGCCTCTATCCATATAACTCTTGAAGTTGGGAAAGTTCAGCATAACTCATCTCTATTGCTATGACACTGGGAATGGCTGATATCCTTACAACTTCTTTTGGTGTTGGGGAAGTGTAGGAGAGGCAGGAGATGAGAGAGACATTCTTCTTTGTTGTTGCTCAGGATTAGAGTAAATCTTCTCTTAGGGAAGGGAAACTCCCTTCACATATGAAAGTGTTCATAAGTGCTGGAAATTATACTGTCTTCCAGACCTGACTCAAAGGAATTTCCTCCTCTTTGATGCAGGCTTCCTCTTACTGCATTCTGAATATAAGTGTTTTTGAAAGTCTTAGGATTGTAAATTTAGAGCTGGTCACCAAGTCCAATTCTTTCATTTCATATATGAGAAAACTGACACTGGTGGGGTTAAATGACTTGCCCAGGATCTTGCTCAGGCTAATAAGAGCCTGAGGCAGAATCCAAATTCAAGTCTTCCTTACTCAAAGTTCATTATTATTCCAAGATGATTGAAATATTTGCAGGTATAGTATTCTTAATCTGGGGTCCATGAACTTTCTATACATATATTTTGAAAACTGTATTTCAGTATAATTAGTTTCTTTTGTAATCCTACATATTTTTATTTTATGCATATAAAAACATTATTCTGAGGAAAGACTCCATAGGCTCTACCTCCAAAGGGGTCCATGACTAAACTAAAACTAAAAAACTTAAGAAATCTTAAACTGGTGGGACCCAAGCCAAATGGTCTTCTGATTAATGTGAATGGTATCAAAATAGCCAGACTGCTTAGGCCAAAGAGTTTTGCCTTTTAAGGTCTCATATTGATTTGACCTAAAGTTAAGATGAATGTTTCTGTGGCACCTACTTACCTACCAGGTAAGCTAGGTGGTATAAGATCTCGAACACTGGACTTAGAGTTAAAAAGACCTGAACTACTCCTGCCTTGCACACTTCCTAACTAGGTGACCCTGGGCAACTTTTCTCAGCCTTAGTTTCCTCATCTGTAAAATGGGAATAATAATATCACCTACCCCCCACAAAGTTACCATGAGGATTAAATAAGATAACCTATAAAGTGCCTTGGGAATCTTAAAGCACATTGAAATGCTAGCAATTAATATTATTATCATTACTAGCCTAAAACAACTTTCTAGTTATGAATTGCCTGGCCACTTCCCTCCATTTCATACTCACTTCTTTTGGTCAACATATC